GAGTATATGAGTACAAAAGTATTTTTCTAGGCCAAATATTTGTGGTGCAAAAAAAAAATCCCTGCTGATTTTGCATGTTATTTGGAATATTAGAAAAAGACACTCAGCACCAAAGATGACAACTACTAGTTTCCATAGTACTCTAGCATCTCAGCAATCTGCTTCCTTAGACAAAAAGGCTAAAGAATGGCAAGTGTAGTACACTGCCCCCACCATTGTTTTCAGGTTAGTAGGACCTAGGGTATTACTTTGCCTACAAGAACATCAACAATAAAATCTCTAGTAGGCTGATGCTGTCTATCTCCTTTAGTTTAAAGCAGTATATGCTACCCAGAACTGTAATTACTTAATTTTTTTTTCTAAATCAGCACCATTGAAACTATTATTAATGAAAGCACTTCTGCCCACAGAGCAGATGCTCCCGGTGGGGTCACTCAAACAGAAACAAAAGCTCCCAGTTAACTAACGGAAATAAAGTATCCCCAGATTACTTTCGGAAAGCAACTTGTTATGACTATGCACTAGAAATGTTCCCAAGTGCCAGCACCATAGCACCCAACCCCATTCAACTCTCTTTCCTCTTCTGAGCTACCAGAGGGTAACTACAGTGTCACAGGTGACTTATTTAGGCTGAATAGCAAGGATATTTAAGGTAGACAGAGGTAGAGGATACGAAGCATAGAATTTCTGCAAACTACAAAGGTCATGTAGTTACATTAGCCCTCCAATTTTTAAATAAGTAGAAGAAGGCCCAGAGATATTCATGGAGCTGCCAAAATCACATATCTACCAAGATAATTTTTTGACAAAAGATATATCTGGGTTAAAATCCAGCTATCCGAATTCCTAGGGAAATGAACTGAAATTTCCACATAACAGCAGAAAGGACCAGTAAATTCCTAGAACTTAATTTCGTTCTTATTCTTATCTTTAACCCAAAATACCACCATTACCATCAACACCATCTTTACAAGAAATCCATGTAGTCACAAACTATGACACATTTACAATGCAAATTAATAAAACCATTTTATCATGTTCCATCCACCATTTATAAAAGTGAGTTTGTTATAATGAAGCCTTTTTGATAAATATTAAGTGAATTTACCTGCATCGATTACAACTTCTTCAGTCATTTTTACCAACTCTTTTAGAGTGTGTTGTTGTATTTTCACATTACAGAATATCAAAGAAACTTATACTGAAACATCCTTTTCTCTAAAGGAAGAGGAACAAATGCCAAAACAGTGAACACATATATTTTTTCTATGTTTTTGGTTTAGAGAAAAATAACGATATCACATGGATGTTTTACATAAATTTTCCTATTTGGTATCTTGCCTGGCTAACAGACAAATTATATATAATTTAATTGAAAACATTCTGAACTGTTTATATACCATATCTCTTTTTAAAGTAATAAGATATGAAATGGTCTGGCAGTTAAGAAACTTCATATTTCTTGCCATAGAAACAATGGATTACAACATTATTCTATTTTTTAAAAAGCTATTAACAAATCAAAATAATTTAAGGCCCTAAACCAGGGCCTTAAATTTAATAACCTGATAGTGTAAATCATTGTAACGTGCATCTGTTTTTACTCAGCCTGCTTCCAATTTGGTAACCAAATTGAAAAAAAGAAGTAACATTTAGTTCTTTTAAAAAGAAAAGACTTTCCCTCCCCTCTGGTAATTTCAATATCTTAGTAGAAGTTATGACCATAAGGTAATGAGAGGTCTTTTAAAACAACCATGCCAAAATTTATGCATCTAAAAACATAGTGGTGTAATTGCTAGTTATATTTCTAAAATTACCTAAGAGCCATCCAGAGGGAATCAGGTGGGTTAAAAAACTGAGAAAAGCTAATTTTGGTTGAAATGGGGGGAAAGGAGAGGCTATTTTTTTCGGGGGGGGGGGGACACACAAATTTTCTTGAGTTACTCTGAATACAATGCAAAAATGAAGAACAGAAAATGTACTGAGCAACAGCAGCATCAATGGCCGGAGGATGCGGCCTATTACACAGAGAAACTATACTTTAAGGTTAACAATGTTCACTGATATGTACAGCTTCTGATATAAAACTAAAAAATTGTTTCATGGGCCGGCCCGGTGGCGCACTGGAGAGTGAGCCGCTTGGGAGCACGGAGGCGCTCCCGCCGAGGGTTCGGATCCCATGTGGAGACCGGTTCCCGCTCACTGGCTGAGCGCGGTGCGGGTGCAACACCGAGGGTTGCGATCCCCGTTACCGGTCAGTAAAAAAGACAAAAAGGAAAAAAAAAATTGTTTCATTATTTCTAACCATGAATCATATGGTTCTGACTGTAATTCTTTTAGAGAGTAAGAAATAACAAAGAGTCACTATAATGAGAATAGATCAAGTTAAATAATACCATAAAAAAACAAAGAGAGAAATCCTTTGAGATCTGAGCCATTCTATGAAACTGGTGTGGATCTTTAAATAGTCAATGTCACAGAGGGAAAAGATGACAAGGAGAAAATTCCAGATGAATAAAGGAACATAAAAATGTGGCATATACTCCTGGAATGGATCCTGAATTTTTAAAATAATGTGTATTTATAAAAAAGTTTGGAGGACATTTGGTAACAATATATTACAGAATTGCTGTTAATTTTCTTAGATGTGATATAATATTTTAGGTTATGTGGGGACCTATGTAATATATTGTCCTTATCCTAACAAGACTTATGATGAAGTACTTAAGAGTATAGTTTACAGTATCTGTAACTTGTCTACTCACACAATAAACTATGTGTGTGTATACATGTATAGACACACCTATACACACATACACACACACATGCACACATGTACTCATATATATAAACACACATAAGGAGATAAGGTAAAATGTGGCAAATTGTTAATGATTACTGAATCTAGATAAAGAATATTTTGGTGTTCAATGTATTTACTCTTTCAATCTTTCTGTAGGTTTCAAAATTCTCAACACAAAAAGTTGTTGGGAAAAATGCCACTTATAGTATCTAATACTTCAATGGGTCACCTTAGTAATATCCTACTGCCCCTCCCTGTTGTCTTGACCTCTAAAACCAAATGGTCTTCGAAGACAAAACAAAGAACTGAGATATAGGAAGAAAATATTAGAATTTCTATTAATAATTTTTTCTCCCACCCTTTTCAGATTTCAATTTTTTGGTGTGTTTCATAATGTACAATATGCGTTAGTACAGTAGAAATGTACAATATGTAAATAAATATACATACATATTTTGAGGCTACATACTCAAGAAAACTTGTTATTGATCAGGGTATATGACCTAAAAATGTGGATATTACTCTTCTACAAAACAGACATAACTGTTTTCTAAAAAGTCTCTGACCATTGGAAGATCATTAAGATCAGTCCCTTTTGCTATTATCCAGGGTTTTATTGACTCTAATAACTTACTGTGTAATCCTTATGAGAAATTTTTGAGTCTAAAAGCAGCAGCAAATGGACAATGATGGCAGTGGGAAGAGTCAGCAGACGTGACGGAGTCAGAAAGTCAGCAAAGTACAGTACGTCCACAAGTTAGCACCAACAAAAATGTTAAATTTTGTTCAGCAAGGAAACCTGATTTTAAATACTGAGATTTAAAGTGTTCTAGAATGTCATAAGGAAAAATATTTTTGAAGCTACGAAAACTTCAGAAAAATACACTATTAAGTACAGTATTATAATTTCAAAGGAAAATCATACTAAAGAATACACAAAATGGAGACAGCTTTGCTTAAAAACCAAAGGGGTGTTTCATTATAAATAGAGAGAACAATCTAGATATCTGACAAGAAGACTTAATTAAATCATGATTCTAAAATAAAAGATACATGAATGTAAGGCCTTTGAAAAAATATTTAGGTAAGTTCCCTCTATATTTTTATTCTAAGAGGTATAAGCAGTTAAGGAACCAAAAAAAAAAAAAAAAGGAAAATGATAAAAAAGTGAAATCTTTAAATTATTATTTTGTTATTAAATACTTAAAAAGTGACATAATAGGAAGCAAGTTATAATTATTAGTATAACTGATAAGTAAACCAAGGAAATAAATGAGAAAAAGTAATTTTCATGTATGTTAAGATAAATATTTGACCAATTAAACCTCATTTTGGAAAATAATTTCTGTAATTTTTACAGTTACATAGTTTATCACGTAGGGCTCTAATTTGTCTCATATAAATTTGAAGCTTTGAACAGAAGATATTTTCAAGCTGAATTATACATGCCATATATAAAAGTTGTATCTATCAGAAAAGAATGGCACTGATCTACTAGGCATTTTAAATACAGAAACTAAGAGGTATAGAAACAAAGTTCCAGAAGTTTTTAATAGAAGAAGGGGAACCTCTAGGCACATTAAAAAGGTCCCTCACTGAATAGGGGACACAGGTAACAGTGAAAGAGAACACTAAATCAGAAAAGACTGTTAAATCACAATAAGTACATACTGCAGATTACCCTTAGTAGATTAGATTTAGGGCACATCCAATTGGCCATGGACTCTGTCAGTTATTTATGGTTGATTGATAGTAACTGGACTGAATTTGTTACATTTAGATGTCACTGTTTTATGGAAACACACCTCAAACTTTGTAAAAGAAATAAACTGAGAAATAAAATTTCCTTTATAGAAGTTTACATTATAGTTAGTTCATTTTATAAAAAATTCTGCTCCTTCAAAATAAGGACAGCTATTAATGAAAGATCTCTTGACAGTATAACACCCACAGGTTTCAGAACAAAATTATTTCTGATCCTAACTGTGCCCTTCCAATTTCCACTCTTGCCATGATATTTGAAAGGCAGAAAAGCTTCATTTTCATTGTAACTTTTCCACCTGCTATTTTCATTCTTAATTAAGTGAAAGGCATAAACTAATATATTATCAGTATGAAGTACTCATCATTTAAACCTTTATAAGCCTAATCTAATAGGTAAAGAAAAGTATATACATTGAAATAAGGGTAGTTGTTCTTTTCAATTTTCCATTCTTTGACTTTTATAGGGCAAAAAGTATACTACAGAATATGTCATTGATTTTACAGCATGAAGGACATCAAATTTAAAATGGGAAGATGACAGATTTATCACTGGTAAACAAGAATTTATCAAAGACAAAGAGGAAAATGTAATATGACTTGTGGAAAAGTATATCAGTTAAATTACAATATTCAAATTGGAACAAAAAAGATTATAATCTGTTTGACATGTTTATCAAAAGTAACTTATTTAAAATATTTAAAATGCGAGGTTTGAATTCAAATTTTAGAATTACCATTTGAGGGTAACACACTCTACACTCAGAAAAACAACCCTAGACTAAAACACTTAATTTGAAGACGGTACTTTAAACATGAACCTGTGAAATTAGTCAACATTAAGATTACATGCCAAAGAAGGAATCATTTGTGAAAAAGGAAACAAACAAGCTACCTGATTACAGTAGCCTTAGAAAATACAAATCAAATTTTCATTTACAGTATGAAACCTGTTAAATCAATTCAATAAATATGATATCCAACTCAACTTTTCAGTTGTTTAAATAATAGTGTTAAAATAATAGTATAGCAAAAGGAAATTATAAATATTTAAGATTAAAATGTCAGTGGAAAACTTTCTTTTATGGATTAAAAGAAAAGCATTCATTCAAAAATACTCCTGAAAAAAAAAAACAAAACTATGACTAGGAATCCAAAATGATTCCATTAGAACTTTTAAAGACAGAGAGAGCAGGCCAAAAATCCAGTTTAAAAGATAAGTCCAGTTTAAAACAATAAATATATGAACTGTTAAGCAAAGCCAGGAATATAAATTACTTTGAAACATCTACTTATATCCATTTTAATGAAGAATTAAAGGATACAATGTGTTAACGACATATTTAAAAGACTAGTAGTCGGATAAGACAGATGAATCAAATTTTGTTTATATCCTAAATAATTACAATAGACTTTGAAAACGTAGTGTAATTCGTGTTTTCTTTCCAGTTTAAAAATTTCTATCCATTGCCTCTATCTTTGGTGTCACTGCCACCAATAAACACAGTATACAGCTTACAAACCTAATTGCTATCTTCAACTAGGAAAAAGTAAATCAACATTATTTCTTTAAAAATAAGATATATAAGAATGTGATCCTACTTAATTTTGTCTCATGGTCCCACAATATTTTGAAATATCATGCCAAAATGTAAAAGTTTAAAAGGGAATGTCATCATTTGCTATATAACTGCACCAAAAATTTAGCTACTGTACGCTGGTGTGATGACAGCTAGTAGTATGTAGAGGCTACAGAAAGACATTATATATGTTCAGCTCACTATCAGTAAAAGGAAAGTTCAGTTTAATGAGAAACTGAAACATGGACAACACAATGCCTTCACGTAAATATGCTACAACTCTGTTCTCCTGCAGTTTAAAACGACAGTGTAATTATCTTAAATTTACACAAAACATTACGAAACATGGTAGTCGTTCGTGATTAAAATTAAATAGATATGTAAATTAATTTAACACAGTGTTAAATATATTCACATGATCATCACTGTGATTCAAAATGGCCACTAATGAAGTTACATATCAATATATGTACATAACATTTGCCACAACAGTTGTTGTAAGTTTGACTTTTTGCAGACCAGGTAATTTTATGAGACAAATAATCTTGTATCAATTCTTTCATATTATGAAAGGAATTAAATGTTATAAGTAGTTTCATTCCTCTGGGGGTCTGGGCAGGGGGGAGAACCTCTAAAAAGTCAGTGGAAATTAAAGAGTTCTACCTTCTTGAATATTTGAACTTGTTGACCAAGATAGATTCCTATAAGCTGAGGATAAACAAATCTTAAGATACTAACAAATCTCATAACGTTGTCATCGGCATTTAGCAGATACTTGTCACAAACAGGAATATCAGGTCCTATAGCAGTGCCTTCTGAGAATATGGTTGTTGTGGCTGAGGTGGCTGTTGACTGCCTCCTGGTTGAGGCAGGGTTGATGATGTTAAATTATAGTTTGGCACCTGGGACATATTAGTTCCTGCATTCTGGTACATAGTGACATCAGCAGTTGCAGCAGCAGCAGGAGGAGGACTATATACTGAAGCCTGGTTCGCATATGTATTTCCTTGAACAGAACTGACCATTGTGCTGTGGAGGGAGTAAAACACTCAATTAGATAAATATTGAATTATACAGCCATTTACAGATAAAGAGGAACTTATTTATTAAACATTCATTCATATATATTCAATTCATTCAACAAATCCTTATTAAATACCTATAAGATGCCAAACATTTTTATTTTAGGCATCGGGATATCATAAAGAAAGAGAAATATCAGTCCATATCATCATGGAGCTTACATCCTAGTAGGAGAAAAAGGATAATAAACTTATCATATGTCCAGTGGTTTATAATAGCTATGAAGAAAAACAAAGCCGGCTTTCTAGGATGAAGAGCACCTGAGGCAAGGGATTTATATAGGGTGATAGGAGAAGGCCTCTCAGACAAGGCAACATTTAGCAGAGACCTGAAAAAAGTGAGGGGGTGAGCATTTACCTAAGAAAAGTGCATTTCAGACAAAGAGAAAGAAAACTTTGAGTAGAGAAAATGCTAGGCATGTTCAAGAAACAGCAGGGAGGCCATGGAGTCAGCAGCAGAGTGAGCAGAGGGGACAGTGGAGCAAGATAATGTGGTGGATCTGGGGAAGGGGAGTGGGGGTGCCTTGAAGACCATAAAAAGGATTCTGGCTTCTAATATAAGTGAGATGGAAAGACACTGGTTGCTTTTGAGCAGAAAGGTCATGTGATTCGACTTAGTATTTTAACAGGCTCACTCTGGGACAAGGATAGAAGCAAGGATACCTGGTTAGAGGCTATTACAATCATCCAGAAGAAAGCTGACAGATGGTCAGAGCCATGGTGGTCATGATGGAGATGGGAGAAAGAGTCAGATTCTAGATACATATTTTGAAGGTAGTGCCATCAAAATGTGATAATGAATGAAGCAGTCAAGAATATCCGAGGTTTAGAACTGAATAACTGGCAGAAGTTAACTGGTAGAGTGGCCATTCACTGAAAAGGAGACTACTACAGATAGAACCAAAGTAGACTGGGGAGAAAGGGAGATGGGGAAGATACAAGTATGGCTCTGAACATGTCGAGTGAGATGTCTACAAGATAAACAAGAAAAGATAATGTGTATGCAACCAGCTATTCAAGTGTGGAATCCAGTGGGGAGGTTAGGAGTAGAAATCTACATTTGGGAGACAGCACGTGGACCACGTTCAGAATCATGGGGCTGCATGAGATCCCCTAGGAAGTGACTGCAAACAGAAGGAAAAAGCAGTCCATGTACTGAGCCCTAGACCTTGATGTCCAGAAGATAAAGAGACACTAGGCAAAGGAGACTGAGAAAGAGTGGCAGTGAGGTAGAAGGAAAACTAAGAGAGAATGGTCATGGCCATGTAAATGAATTATTTCCAAAAAGAGAAGGGAATGATGAACTGTGCAATGGAGTAGGAGGAGAACTGACAATCGACCGCAGCATCTGGCAATATGAAAATCACCAGTGTCTTTGACGAGAACAGTTCTAGTAAACTAATGGAGATTAAAGTCTGATAATCTCATTTCCCTATTTCCCTGAAAATACAGAGCATGTACTATTACAACCCCCGCAATTATCAACAATCTGTACCTACACCCATTCATATATTCTGCCTTCCCTCTTCCTCCAACTGATTAGCTGTCAGTGCTCCCACCTAAGGCCTCTCCACTTGTGCACTGTTCCTACTGATGTAAAAAAAAAAAAATTCCTTCGAAGAGTTTTTATTCACTGTGTTTACTTTCTTTCTTCCTATTCCCAACCTAACTTATGAGTTTTACTATGTGTAAGACATTAGGTTAGCTATGTAAAGAGAAATACTAAGATGCATTAACATTGAGAATTTCCCCTACATTGGTATTAAAAATGTAAAACAAGCTACAGAATTGGTCTATTGCCCAAATTTTCAAAATACTGCCTATATATTTATTTCTTAACTTTTCTCTAGCTGCTAAATTGCTTATCAGTCTATTATTGGGAAACTCAATGCTCTTTACTTTGCACAAATTAAATTCATCCATTATTAGATGAATTATTATTATTCATCTAATATTAGAAATTATTAGATGGTAATTTCATTATTTTAAGAGATGGTAATTTAATGCTACATTCCACCAACAAATATGACTTAACTAAGGCATCACCCACTATCATTCCCTATGTGTTGCACAGTAAAATACAGTTGTCCCTCAGTATCCATGGGGGATTAGTTCCAGGGCCTCCCGTGATACCAAAATGCTCAGATACTCAAGTCCCTGGTAAAAAATGATGTGTAATACTTGCATATAACCTACGCACATCCTCCCGTATACTTTATATCATCTCTAGATTACTTATGATACCTAATACAATGTAAATGCTATGTAAATCATTGTTTTTTTTTTTTTTTTTTTTTGTTTTTTTGTTTCCCCTTTTTGTCTTTTTTCGTGTCCGGCAACGGATCGCAACCCTCAGTGTCGCGCCCATACCGGACCGGGACCAGCAACGGAATCGCAACCCTTGGTGTTGCTCCCGCACCTCGCTTAGCCAGTGAGCGGGACCCAGTCTGTACATGGGATCCGAACCCTCAGCGGGAGCGCCACTGCACTCCCAAGCGGCGCACTGTAGCAGTGCGCCACCGGGCCGGCCCCATAAATCATTGTTATACTGTATTGTTTAGGGAATGATGACAAGGAAAAAAAAGTCTGTACATGTTCAGTACAGGCGCAATTTTTTTTCAAATATTTTCAATCTTTGGTTGGTTGATCCATGGATGTGGAACCCATGGATACAGAGAGTCAACTGCATAAAGTTGTATTATAAGAAGTCGAATATCATCCTATTATTTTACAATATGGGCCACAATACTACTATAACATAGTGCGGAGATTATGTGCTAGTGAGCTCTGGAGCCGGAATGCCTGGAAGAAGTCGAATATCATCCTATTATTTTACAATATGGGCCACAATACTACTATAACATAGTGTGGAGATTATGTGCTAGTGAGCTCTGGAGCCGGAATGCCTGATTATGAATCTTAGCTAAGTGGGACCTTAGTCCTCTCTTCATGTCTCAGTTCCCCCACCTATACAATAAGGATAAAAGTATGTCTACTTCATAGGTAATTATTAGGAATAAATAAGTTAACACATATAAAGCATACAGCACACTTATTTAACAACACATAAATATAAGCTATTATTATAATCATTCTCACTTTATACTATATTCCTTATCTTAATTTACAGTTCCACCATCCATCCAGTTGCCTGGGGCAAAACCCTACAATTCACCCAATATTTCTTTCTCTCATCTCTGCTCTGTACTATCTCCTACCATGTCACCCAATATGCAATTATGTGCTAATCTCCTAAATAACTTAACTCTTTCCCATTAATATCACTGTATCTTACAGTCCGACACTCATCATTTCTTGCTGAATATACATGGTCACCAGGCTTTTAATCTTGCCCCTATGAATCCATCTATCCTGATATTGTTTAAAGCCCTTTGTGGGATTTCTTATTATCCTTAAGAACCAAGATCCTTAACATGATACCTAAGGTCACTCATTCTTCAATCCTTGCCCATGTTTCCAGTGTATCTCTTACTGCTCTCACCACATACTTTAATCCTTTAGTAACAGTGCACCATTGGTAATGCCCAGTATGTACCATGACGTTCACACCTCCCATCTTAGCTCATTTCATGCTTACCATGCCATCACATGCCACCCTATCTTTGTTCATGATAGAACATCTTTTTTACTTTTTTTTTTTTCTCTCCTGGCTAAGAATAACACAGCTGTACATTTACTTGGAACACTTTCTCAAACCCTGAGGCTCCGAAAGCACTGGTCATGTACCTTTATCCGTAATTTATGCTGTAACGAATTACATATTTTTTATGTGTTTGCCCCTATTAGCCAGTAAGCACCTTGAAGCTAAGAAAGAAACTCTAAATCATACTAATATGTCAAATGTCTAGCATAGTGTCTGGCACACACTAAATGTTTGATAAACTCCTAAGTAACAGAAATAAACTAAAATCATAGAAAAATAAGTACATAAGCTTTGGTGGCCTTATAATACTATCACTACCACTTATGAAGGCCTTATAATAATACACTCACTATGGGAAGCTTTAGGAAACTACATCAGTGCCACCTTCCCCAATTAACAGTAAGATTGTCCTAGGATGACAGAAGTCTGAAAAAGTGTTAACTTTAAAACCAAAATTACATGTAAACGAATAAATAGCCTCCTAGATATGAACTGATGAACATTTGAAAACCTGCCCACAAAAACAGCAAAAATCCTTATTGACCTAGATTTGCAACTAGAAAGCTTGAGTCAAATATGCAGTACACCTCTAGCAAGCAGATCTAACCCTGATCCTCACTCCTTCCAATTTTGTTATCCTACGTTTGCCCTTCCAGCAATTTCCTCATTTTCCCATTTAAACACACATTTGTTTTTATGTATTTATAAATATAATCAATACGTAAATACATAAATTGCCTCAAAGCCTCTGTGAAGTCATTGCAAGAAATAAAAAAATACACCTTACTGGTCTAATGTAGCACTTGAAATTGTCATCAACACTTAAACATTTATTTATCAAATATTCACTGAGTTCCTATCTTGTAAAACTGTGAGCTACACAGTGTGGCTATAAAGGTGAAAGAGACTCGGCTCCAGCTCTCCAGATATGATAGTTTAGTAGAGATACAGACAAGTAAAAAGGCAATTACGAGACAGTAAACAGACGGGTATGTCAGGGTCCTCTGACAGCACACAGGAGGAATAGTGCTGGAGAGGTGGGAAGCATGGAAGGCGTCCTAGTAAAAATGAAGCTAAGTGAATAACTTAAGAACGAGCAGGACTGAGACAGGCAGAGAAGACTAAATATTTCAAGGAAATGCTCTATAAAAAGCACCTGTTGAAACGAACATGTGTTCCTTGAGAGGTGACATTAATGGCTACAGTGTATTAGTAGGGTCAGGCCCCCCACCAGCAATTTCACATCCTGACTGCAGAAGCAGATCAGCAACCCCCAGAGAACAACAAGGTGCTATGCTCTAGAGGACTTCACAGTGAAAGCACCTATCAACAGTTTATCTTATTTACAAATATAACTCGCCAAGGCCCTAACCTTTAAGAATGTCCCAAGTAATCTCTAGTAACAAAGTCGTTACAGCAGCATGTGACACAGTAAAAGAAAGGACTAGCAGGGAAGGAGGTGGCATTTCTGGATAATACTAAAATAGCTGAGGAGTTCCTAAGTAACTCATGAAACACTGGTTGCCTTCCAAAACAATACCTGCCTTCTACCCACTTCGTATCTAAATTTAAAGCAACATGTTACTCTTCTAAGAACAGCTGCTTGCTTACTTTCCCTATAGGGGTATTTATTTTCACCAGATTTCAACTTAAAAAAAAAAAATCCTACACTTAACATTTTTTTCTAGGATTCATAACCCATACGGGCATTCCCTGTTTTTTGATGCCTAAAGTAGGCCTAGTGAGGGCAGTGCAGGAGCATTGCTGGCAATTCCAACGTTGGTGAAAAGGTTTTTAAAAACTGTCTGTGCCACCCAGAAACTTCTGTTACAAGCAAGAATATCACAACTTCTAGAATACACGCTGGTAAACTCTTAAAGCCTACCCTTTATCTGCTTCAAGGGAAAGACTTCAGCTTAGATGTCCATTAAAGCAGAAAAGACATTTATATAATTAATAAGCATTTAACTGCATGAAAGAAAGCACTACATGTAAATGCCGAAAATAACTGGCCTCTTTGGTGACATAGCCAGCTATCTGCCTCATGACCCACAAGGCACATAGCTTCTCATACCTTCTCTTTTCAAATAGCATACCTTGCTATAATACCAACTAAATTCCAACATAGGTCAAAAATAAGGAAATAGTTGTCTTAAAAAAGTGGCCCAGAAATATATAATCTAGAATAAGAACTTTGGAATTTAGATTTTACATGAAATTTGCGAGAAAATAATAAATTATAGTTACCAAACTTAATTTCATTAAACACATTATCAAATATTATCACAGACTCAAACAAAAACCATAAAAAAGTATGCTGGGAATATAAAGAATACAGGGCTAAAGCCACAATGAAGGGGTTGAGTGAGTCAGGAAAAGAAGACTGGGTGCCAGCTGGTCCTGTAATAGCACAGGGGCTCCTGGAGAACCACTCATCATGACAAAGAGGGCTGGCCATCTGCAACAGTGATGACATCTACCCCAGATTTTTCTTATCCAGAACTTATAATTACAGATGATTGTGGGTTCTGTAAGAGTTTTAACAGCACTAATTCCAAACAAGAGTCAATAATCAATTACTTTGGGTAAGAAGCCTGAGCCTGCTGACTAGGAAGAGCTGGGTTTGCAGATGGTGGAACTGCTCCTTGGCTGAGAGAAGACAGTTGCTCGGGGGGAAGACTGTAGCTCTGGAGATGGCTCATCTGTGCATTCCCTGCAACCAGGTAAGCACCACTCTGAGGAGGCCCTGGATATACCTAGAACAGTTCATGAGAAAACATACTCAATTCAAATTTGTAGAGGCATTCAATTACAAAAAACACAGAAATTACCTCCCTGGAATTTTTTTTTAAAGTTTCTTCTGTCAACAGGCATTTTAAAAAACACTTTTTAGTTGGGCATTCACTAAACTCATGTTTATTTCCATACAGAAGCATTAAGTAAACTTATCTTGAAACTTTATACTAATATAATCTCCCTGTCTATTAAAATAAATTTAATGTTTTCCATGTTGAAATTTTAAAAGGAATACCAAAGGATGTTTAGGAAGTGCATCTGAACTCACTGTTTTATAGCCATAGATATACCTATAGATAAAACTGACATTACCTAAACTGCAATCTATTGAACATAGTGCAAGCTAACTTTGTAAAGCAGAGGTTAGCAAACTTTTCTGAAAAGGGCCAGGCTTTGTGGCCGTATGTTTTCTGGCACAACTACTATTTTAGGCTTTGTGGGCTATATGGTCTCTGTCACAACTACTCAACTCTGCTGTTATAGAAAACAGCTACAGACAATGCAGAAATGAACAAGAGTGGCTGTGTTCTAATAAAAGGTTCTTCAAAAAAAAGGCAGCAGGCTGGATTTGTTTACCTACTCTTGCATCTAAAAAATATATTTTTTTTCTAATCTAAAGAGATTAAAGTTTTAAATACCCAAAGACTTAAACACATACTGTTCTAGTTTCCTGTAATATTCATTAGTCTTCCATTTCACATGTTTGAAAAGAGAACTTCCACTATCCATGCAGTCAAACTGTTACTACCACCTGTTAAGACAATACCATAAACCACCAAGAGATAAGGTCAACAATCACCTTAGTATTTCTGTTAAACCATAACAGATTCATCATACATCAGAATCCAAAAGGTCTTCATTATAAACATAGCTATACCACTCCTCATAACTGTACTTTATCATTTTATTTTTTTTTTTGCAAATTGAACATGAAGGTATTTTTGTTTGTCTGATTCAATCTGGAGATTAAGACCCTTGAGCAGGTGTCATCTAGCCCCATGTTTCCCCAGCCTGGCTGCTCATCTCCAGGGTGCTGGCCCCTCATTTCAGGGAAAAGGGACCATGCTAAAAAATTAATCTGAACAAAGTTTGTTTATCCACTTTACATGGATAAAATGGAGTACCTAGCTATTTACTCCTATACCCTGAACTTGCTGAGTTTGCGGAAAGGGGGCTCTTGAAATAGTTGCTCGGAATGAAAAAGGGGAAAAGAGCTCTATATTGCATTACATGCATTCTCATGTAAAAGATGGGGAAAATTCCAAATTAAAGCAGCTTTTTTTTTTTTTTTTTTTTTTTTTTTTTTTTTTTTTTTCGTGGCCCGGCAAGGG